TAGCCTTGGCAACAGAGGAAGACACTCTCTCTTGAAAAAAAATGAGGTAATAGGGAACCTCATTTGTACCTTTTGTAGCTCATGAGCAGAACCTGGACCTGCTCAGTCTCCATTCGGTTCTCTTTTTGTGTTATCCTAGTGTCGTCTGTCTTTCCAGCTCTGCATATAAATTTCCATTCCAAAATCAACTATAGTCCATAGGCTGGGCACAGTGGCTCACGCCTATAATCCCAGCACTTTTGCAGGCCACGGCGGTGGACCACCTGAGGTCAGGAGTTCAAGACAGGCCTGCCTCTACTAACAATACAAAATTGGCCAGTCTCTACTGAAACCCTGTCTCAACTAAAAATACAAAATTAGCCGGCAGTGGTGGTGCATGACGGTAATCCTAGCTATCTTGGAAGGCTGAGGCAGGAGAATTGCTTGAACCCAGGAGGTGGAGTTTGCAGTGAGCAGAGATTGAGCCATTGCGCTCCAGCCTGGGCAACAAGAATGAAACTCCATCTAAATAAATAGAAAAATAAAATAAAATAAAATCTACTATAGTCCATAAAAAGGAGTATCTTAATTTTTATTGCCATGTTAAAAATTCACAGCCAGAAATATTGGAAGTCGCCAGCTTTTCTTCCATTCATGTCCTCTCTGATGTCCTCACTAGACCATCAGGTACACAAAGGAGAAAACTGGTTCTTTTTTATTTTTTGCTATATATCCAGTTTCTGGCATAGTGCCTGGGACATAGCAGGTACCTAGCAAATATTGTTGAATGAGTAATGAACCCACCACTTGTTACTTAAAAGACCTAATGCTATCAGGAGAAATTAGCAGACCATGCTGGCTCATTTTTAAGCTAACCCTCTCTAACAGCCAATTGAATTACCTACCCCACACCTACTAGTCACCTTGACATTTATGCTGCATTCCCTTTCTCTTGTACCTCTCTGATAAAAACTTCCTGTGTTGGGGTTGGGGGTGACAATATTAAAGCTGAGCCTGCTTCTTTACTCTCTGCCAGACCTATTCCTGATCCTTGCCCAAAAGGAGATTATCTCTGTAATCCCATCACACATTGTTTCCCCTTTTCCTCATTGTTCTCCTTCCCACCCATTCCTAGCCAAGCACCGCCTCATTTTCTAATCCTGTTCAGTATCTCTCAAGATTGCTTGACACAATTTCAATTATGTTGTGCCCTGAAGTTGGGCATCAAAGGCATAAGGCCTGAAAATGATTGATTCTGTGATAGACCTGTTTAATAGCCAGTGTCCTAGGTTTGGACATGTGTGTGTGCGTGAACTGCTTCACCTTCAGCCGGAGGTACAGAGCCCATGTTGAAAAAATGTCAATCATCCTAAGTATTCTTGTCTACATTTTTTTTAATTTTAGTAATGTGAATAAACAATGTTAGAATCAGTTTTATTAGAATTTTATTCACCTGTTTATTTCAATGGAGTTGAGTTTGTGAGCAACATGAGATAATCTGAATATATGCTGGAGAGAGGCGGGTGGACAGGAAAGAAGAGAAGCAAGCGGGAATGGCTGGATACGAATCCTGGGGAAGAGCAGGATATTAATCTCATATCCAGCTGCCTACCTTATCCAGTAGTGAACTCGCAGTATTTCCCCTCTGGCACAACTTTTTGCTGCAATTTACACAGATGTGGACAATTAAGCCTTTGAAACCTGAAATTTGGCTTCCAAAGCAGTTTATCCCATTGTCTACACAGATGCCACTTGAGTGAGAATTTAGAATATTCAAGAGTTTAGAAAATGACATCCTCCATCCCTGCCAGAGGCCGTTTGAGCTCATAACATTTAAAAACAAATAGAGGCTCTCCAATAGGCACAGGCTGATTTGGCAGACTTGTCACTCAGTGTCCCTGGCTTGGGTATGTTTTCTTCTTCCCCACATCCTCCTCTTCCAGGAGCAGAGTCGCTCCACAAGTAAGTTCAAATGCCAGCCAACATAGGAGAAAAAGCTTCTCTGTCTGGAGCCCACTGGCCACGAACCTGCAAGCAGCTGCTTTTTCTTCCCAAATGTGTTCAGAGCTCCTGGACTCAAGTAGAGAGAAAAATAGTGCCCTGAAGTTGTCTTCAGTAGAAACTGATACTGGTTCTCTAAGAAGAGTGTGTCTGCGAGTTAAATGGCCCAAGAATGAAAAGAAAGGCCTGCTCAGAATTCTGTCGGGCAGCTTTCAGGTTATAGACAGCTGTAGAAAACCAACACACTGCACTCACATCAGGAGATCAAATAGGAGATTTACAGAGTGTGCCAGGCTCAAGACAGTGATAGCAAAATCTACTTTTGACCTTCTGGGCATTTCTATTTCACTAGAGAAATCCCATCACACACCAGGAAATTGATTTTATAAATCGTACATTTTAAGCTTGGCTTCACAAATTCCAGAGAGAAGCTCCTCCCTGGTACTTGTTTCAGGGAAGGTGGAGTAAAGGCAAAAGAAATGAGAGTAAATCGGGTGCCTTCGGACAACCAGCCAAGTTCGTTCCCTGTCTTTCTAGGTCTCCTACACTAAGAGAAGGGGTGCAACTAGTTTTCAAGGGGTCAGGGCAGGCATTTTTTCCTATTTCGGGGTTCAAATCTGAAGTCAATGGATTCCAGGAAAACCAATACAGAAGTGCTTGGAAGCATCCACTTATAGTTTTGTTTGTTTCAAAAATGTCCATCGCTTTTCTTGGATTCTCAGAGAAATCTGTAGGCAAAACCAGGTTAAGAACTGCTCCCCTCTACCCTGCATTATTTCACATTACCTTGTCATCAGGGACAGAGACCCCGAAGGCAGAGGCCCGGCAGTAGCGGATGAGCCCAACCTGTTGCCAGAGTCACTGAATAAGGAGATTAGTACCCACCACATTGATTCTCTCCTGACTGGCATCCCCAACCTCTACTCCTAGAGTAAATGAAATAGGAACTCTCTCTCTCCACCACCACCATTCTATCCCAGCATTATTCATTCCTTTCATGATACTCTGAATATTTCATAAAAATCTTCTCTCTTCCTCATTTCCCACCCCAGTAGGAACAGGCCCAGTTGGGTATTTTTCTGTTGCAGAGAAACTCCTTTCCTTATCTACTCATCCAGGCAAAAGAACCTTGGTTAAAATGATCACTTGGGCCCATTGTGGTTTTGTTTCCATTCTTAAAAGGACCTAAAGGGATTATTATAATCCAGGACTATGTAAAGGCTTAAAAAGGAGTAAGATCATTGACTTTACGTAAGCATACACACCTAAGTGGCAAACTATCAAGAATATCCATCTCTGCTACAGGCTGTGCTTCTGACACTTTCAGGGAGACTGGTGAAACTTTCAAGCAGGAAGATATGAGGAAAGGGCCGGGCATAGCATTTCACACCTGTAATCCCAGCACTTTGGGAGGATGAGGCAGGTGGATCAAGTGAGGTCAGGAGTTTAAGACCAGCCTGAGCAACATAGTGAAACCCCGTCTCTACTAAAAATACGAAATGTAGCTGGGCATGGTGGCACATGCCTGTAATCCCTGCTATTCAGGAGGCTGAGGCAGGAGAATCGCTTGAACCTGGGAGGTGGAGGTTGCAGTGAGCCGAGATTGCGCCACTGCACTCCAGCCTGGGTGACAGAGTGAGACTCCGTTTCAAAAAAAAAAAAAAGACAAAAGGACATGTCTCTGCCCAAACTCTACTTCTACTGCCGTTTCAGCTTTTGACACTTTTTATTGTCCACACTTTTCCTACCTCTAAGTATTGAGTTCCTTATATCAGTGCTAATATGATCATTGTAAAGAATTATCCTTTTCCACTCTGCAAATTTTCAAAGGTCAGGTTTTATGTAGAGAATCTTTATACAGTATAGTATTTCAGCATTAATACTGTCTTTCCTATTTTGCTAATACTCTAGAGTGACATTTAATTTATCATCCAAAGCAATGCTAAACTACGACAATAGGCATAGACCGATACCACTGTAGTCAAATTGAAACCAAAGGTCACCACGTTTTGCACAGAACCATGCAGGGATAAGTGGTTCACGCCCCTCCATCACTTACTGTATCTGCAACACCCACCTCATAGTGGATCTCTCTCCCGCTAGCATGATAATGGTGGAAGGTGCTTTGAAGCAGGAAGATAATAAAATCCAAATTAAGCACTGTCTAAAAAGGAAAGTCTTCACTTTTACTGAAGTCATGAACTCTAGGCTGCTCCCTATATTGCATTATCAACACATTCTTTGCGGCAAGCAGCTGCAGTTTGGTTGTTTAACCATCTCGTGTTCTGTAGCATGCAGAGTGGACCATGTTGTAACCATAATAGGTCTGTTGCCTGACGCGTGCAGCAAGTCAATACACCAAGATATGGGGTTGCAGCAGAGAAAGAGGTTTAATCATAGGGCCGCCAAATGAGGAGATGGAAGGAAACCTCAAATCTGTCCCCCCAAGGAGCTTGGGGCTAGGATTTATTTTTAAGGGCTTTGGAATAGGCTGAAGTTGGGAGATCATTGATTGGTCACAGAGAGCAGGATGAGGTCATGGGACAGAAGGAAGAAACCATATTCTCATGTTGATCCGTTTCCTCTGTGAGGGTCTTTAAACTGGCTGCCCTCAGCTGTTCTGCTGGAATTCAATATCTGCTTAAGCAATTCTTAAACAAAAACCATATGATTCTAATGGTAGAAATCCTATGCATAGGAAAAATGGAGATCCAAATGGTGAGTATCTAGTGCTACAGAGTTTCGGTGACAAGGAAGTGGGTCAGAGTGCAGACTGATTAATACTTAATTATAACTATATTTCTGCCCAGAATTCTTGTTAAGCCTGTGAAGATGGCTTCAACGTTACATTTAATTCCCTGATTTTTCTTCATAAATTGCACACAAATTCAAAGTCTCATTCAATATGCGTGTAATCAAAAAGATCATCTAGGTCTTACTTAATCTATACTGTGGTTGTTAGGAGCCAGTGATAAAATATAACATAGCCCTACACTCAACATTCTTTCACCTTTCTACAGATCCGAAACATAGCAGCAAATCTCTGTGTGGACAGCAAGCATGGAGCCACCGGAACAGAGCTGAGGCTGGACATCTGTGTCAAGGATGGTTCTGAACGAACATGGTCTCATGAACAGGTGCGTCAGCTCCCGGAAGCCAGGGCAGCGGGAGCCAGTGGGGGGCTGAGGCAGACACAGGGGCATGCAGCCGGAACAAATCTCCGCATGGTGCAGATGGTGCGTGTGGAACCTGGAGTGAGGCTGCTGTGTCACCAGCCAGCCCTGCAGTTCAGTGAATCACTTAGTCTCCGTTTATGTTTCTTCTAAGAGCAGATGTGATAATCAGTTCAGATAATATACACAGTTATGCTTTAAATATGAGAAAGCATGGGAGAAATGTGGACTACAACTCTAACCTTATTTCTTTTCCCAGAATGAGAGTTGAGCACAGAAAGCCTGCAGAGTGCTGTGGAACACTTCCAACTAAATTGCATGGTTTTAATGACTCTGTTGTTGTGTGTTTGTGACATTATCTAACCTTGCTTTTCCCCTGACCGTGAACAGATCACTTTACACGGGCCTCCTGCGTTGTAATAGTTTTTAATCTTACACGTAAAGGATGTAAGCGACGACACCCCAGCGTGGACTTTGGGAAATACTTTAAGGCTGTAATTTGATTTTTGGTTTTCTTTTTGCTTTTTTTGTGTGGGTACATGATAGGTGTACATATTTATGGGGTACATGAGATGTTTTGATACAGACATGTAATGCATAATAATCACATCATGTAAAATGGGGTGTTCATCCCCTCAAGCATTTATCCTTTGGGTTTACAAACAATCCAATTATATTCTTTTAGTTATTTTTAAATGTGCAACTAAATTATTATTGACTATAGTCACTCTGTTGTGCTATCAAATACTAGGTCTTTTTCATTCTTTTGAACTATTTTTTGTACTCATTAAGCATTCCCACCTGCCCCCCCGCCCCCCCCCCCCCCCCCCCTCACCAGCCTCTAGTAACCATCCTTCTACTATCATCTCCATGGGTTCAATGGTTTTGAGTTTTAGATCCCACAGATAAGTGAAAATGTGCAATGTTTGTCTTTCCATACCTGGCTTATTTCACTTCGCATAATAACCTCCAGTTCCATCCATGCTGTTGCAAATGACAGGATCTCATTCTTCTTTATGGCTGAATAGTACTCCATTGTGTATAGCACCACATTTTCTTTATTCATTCATCTATTGATGGACACTTAGGTTGCTTCCAAATTTGGGTATTGTGAACAGTGCTGCATCAAACATGGGAGTGTGGATGTCTCCTCAATATATCGATTTCCTTTCTTTTGGGTATATACCCAGCAGTGGTATTGCTGGATCACGTGGTAGCTCAATTTTTAGTTTTTTGAGGGACCTCCAAATTGTTTTCTGTAGTAATAGTACTAAGTTACATTCCCAACAAAAATGGATAAGGTTTGCTATTGCTCTGTATCCCCAACAGCATTTGTCATTGCATTTTGGATATAAGCCATTTCAACTGGGGTGATATGATATCTCATTGTAGTTTTGATTTGCATTTCTCTGATAATCGATGATGCTAGCACATTTTCATCTGCCAGTCTGCCATTTGTACGTTTTCTTTGCAGAAATATCTATTCAAATCTCTTGCCCATTTTTTAAGAGTTGTTTGAGCTCCTTATATATTACAGTTATTAATCGCTTGTCAGATGGGTAGTTTGCAAATATTTTTTCCCATTCTATGGATTGTCTCTTCACTTTGTTGATCGTTTCCTTTGCTGTGCAGAAGCTTTTTAGCTTGATGTGATTCCATTTGTCTATTTTTGCTTTGGTTGCCTGTGCTTTGGGGTATTACTCAAGAAATTTTGCCCAGATCAATGGCCCAAGAGTTTCCTCCACGTTTTCTTGCAGGAGTTATATAGTTTGAGGTCTTAGATTTAAATCTTTAATCAATTTTAATTTGATTTTTGTATATGACAAGAGATAGTGGTCTAGTTTCCTTCTTCTGCATATGAATATCCAGTTTTCCCAGCACCATTTATTAATAAAACTGACTTTTCCTCAGTGTACATTCTTTGCACCTTTGTTGAAAGTGAGTTCACTGTAGGGTTGGGATTTGTTTCTGGGTTCACTATTCTGTTCTATGTAAGGCTGTATTGCTTTTAATCGAAAAACATATCAATGCAACTCAGTTTAAGTGTGTGTGATTTCTAACCCACTTAGAAATTTGGAAGTCCTTGCAAGCAGCTTTCCTGATACTGTGTCACCTACGAAAGAGAAAAAATAATGGGTAAAATTGTCTTTGCTCTCTTTTAGTGTTTTTGTTTTTTATATTTTAGAGATGGCGTCTTGCTCTGTCACCCAGGCTGGAGTTCAGTGATATGATCAATGCTCACTGCAGCCTCAAACTCCTGGGCTGAAGCGATACTCCTGCCTCAGCAGCCTGAGTAGCTGGGACCACAGGTGCATACCACTCAGCTCACCTAACCCTTTTCACTGTTTTCATTTTAAATTAAGAACTATTTCAGGTTGGGCACAGTGGCTCACACCTATAATCCCAGCACTTTGGGAGGCTGAAGCAGACAGATCACCTGAGGTTGGGAGTTCGAGACCAGCCTGACCAACATGGAGAAACCCTGTCTCTACTAAATATACAAACTAGCCAGGTATGGTGGCACATACCTCTAATCCCAGCTAATCGGGAGGCTGAGGCAGAAGAATCGCTTGAACCCAGGAGGCAGAGGTTGTAGTGAGCCGAGATTGTGCCATTGCACTCCAGCCTGGGCAACAAGACCAAAACTCCATCTCAAAATTTAAAAAAGAACTACTTCAATAGAAAGCTATAGAAAACATCATAGCAGATATTTATGTACTCATCATATTCACCTTTTATGAAAAGCAAAAAGGTAAGCAAGCAGTTCCCAGTAACGCATTACTGCCTCCTGTGTTCCTCCAGTGTTCATCTTGTACATTAAACTGGAGCAGGTCCACCATGCCCAGCGCAGGACATTGAACAGTTGTTCAGATGTGCTGAGATTCACTTCCCTCGCTCCACCTCCCTGCCCCTCCCTGCCCCACATCTACCACACTTTACAATGCAGAGCATCACGATGTGAGGGAAACAGCCACAGACCAAGTCCACAACGCAGTCCAGAGTCATTCAGTCCATCCACAGTGCCTCTCCTCTAGCCACTGATCTGACCTTTGAACCCTCTCCTCACAGCCTCATGGTATTCTGGAAGGACTGTGGGCCTTGTAGCCAGGCCAACCTGGATTTTAGTTTAAACTGTGTGGCCTTGTGAAATTGTTAAATCTTTCTAGGCCGTAGTTCTTCCATCTTGGACAGGGTGGTTAGGAGAATAAACCTTGCAGCAGCATCTTGCACAGGCACCAGGTGCAGAGCAATATCCTCTCCCTCCTGCCTTCCTTCTCTCAAACACCCACAAATCCCTTTATGCTAACACCAAATTAGAAACCTCTCTCAGGTCCAAGGCAGCTGGGACTTTGGCTTCAATTATCTGTTCCCAGCATAGTCAGCAAATACTAGTTACTACTCACTCAAATATACCCTGCAGGCCTGGGCACGGTGTCTTGTGCCTATAATCTCAGCGCTTTGGGAGGGTGAGGCAGGTGGATCACTTGAGGTCAGGAGATCAAGACTAGCCTGGCTAACATGTCAAAATCCAGTCTCTAGTAAAAATACAAAACTTAGCCAGGCATGCTGGCACATGCCTGTAGTCCCAGCTACTCAGGAGGCTGAGGCAGGGAATCATTTGAACCTGGGAGGCAAAGGCTGCAGTGAGCCAAGATCGTGCCATTGCACTCCAGTCTGGGTGACAGAGACTCCATCTAAAAATATATATATATATACACACACACACACATACATATGTGTGTATACAGCCATACATACACATACACATATATGTGTGTGTATGTATGTATATGTATGTGTGTGTATATTATATATATATTATAATATGTGTGTGTGTGTGTGTGTGTGTGTGTGTATGTAAAACCAGATGGGTTTTAAAGAAGGCTCTGTGACTCCAGGATTTATTGATAGGTATTAAATATGAGCGAAAAATTATTTGCCTCCTCCTTCCTCTGTCTGTTTCTATAAGCACCATGAAGAATGTTACCAGGCACCTGAGGAGTAGTGCTGGACTGTTAATTCCAACGAGCAATTCTGACTTCAGCCTGGGAGCAAGAGAGAAGGTTTAGAAACTGTAGGAAAGACCGGCATCTAGAGTGGAAAAGGACTTTTTCAACAAGAAAAAGGAGCAAGCCATCAGGAAAAACTTCATTTCTTGGACTAAACTCCTCTCTACCATCTCTATTCAGCCCAACCAAGAAACACATGTGGCCAGCTGGTGCATATAAAGGAGGCCTAAAAATGCCTGAACTGGGTTTAGTATCTCTATCCGGCAATGCTCTAGAATAAAATCTGCTCTGGCCTGCGGATTTTATTTGACAGCTGAACATGGAAAAAATTGTTGGTTCATTCCCCGCAACCCGCTCCACGCCCCCGCACCCTCCACCACCCACCCCCAGGCTAAACTGCAAAAATCTATGGCCTGTAATTCAAGAAATGGTCACCAGAGAGCAGCACTAGACAAGCAGAAAACTACATAGGCAAAACAGAAAAACCAGCTTAATATAGCTCTTTGAAAAGACTTCCTGTCTCTAGAGATCCTAAAAATGAAGCTACAGTAGGATTGACTACGGTTGATAAGTGGTGAAAAATTCATCATATTTGAAATACTGCCATATATTGACTTGGAGGTTAAACATTACAAGCTGTTTCATTTGCCAGTAATTAACTGTAAGCTTTATTCAATATATTACTCAGTGACTTATAAAAATTAGGAATCACTCTTCCACATTTAGATTAAAATTCCTGCATGAGGAAAGCATATCAGAACATGAAAATTATGGGTTTTCTTTTTAATTCAAAAGCATTCAAAGAACACAAAAGGAGACTTGTTAGAGTTGAAATGCTCTAGAATTTCAAAAGAAAAAAGTGGCAACAATTTTTAAAAAGTGAATAAACAAAATTGTTACATGGGAAATAAAACAGTCAATTGAAGAACCTGTATAAGAAAATGCCTTCTGCTG